TGGTATCATCTCTACATCTGCCTCATTTCTTTATCCAATCTCTAGTCCAACATTCTAATTGGATCACATTAAACCAAGTTATTTTCCTTTCCTAATATTGCACTTATCACCAATAAACTATTTTACTGTAAATAATAAATACTTATATGAGATAACTAAGGAGAATATTTGAAAGCAACCCCAGATGTCCAAGGATGATTCACATTTTAAGACCCTCAAAGTAAGACATGCTTACTTTTAAGTCTGAATTAAACATTACAAAGATGTGGAAGAAAGGAGTATGCATTATTTGTACTAATTCCTTCTATATTTCTTTGACAGATTTTAAATATTTCTTATTCCCTTTCCTGTTGAAACAGGAACAGCAATATCCAAAGCAGCTCTGTGTTCCACTACTTTGGAATGTATGACCTGGCTCCTTTTTATAAGATAGTATTTCTCACTGCTGCTCCATGACTGTTTGCCAGGAACCAAAGTTTCATGAGTTGTCCAGCAACAATAGTTTTGCACGGACAGTGCTAGAAGCTTCACAACAGGGCTTGTGGAAGTGGCATATACTACTAGATGTGCAAATGTCTACTTTTTCCCTTCCTTCCATCTTTCTGTTCTCCTCCCCATGATCCAGATTTCTATGCTTAAAACTTTCAGATGCTATCATATAGCAACAATAAGACATTGCAAAACAAATTAGTTTTGGAGGGGCACAGTACAGTAGAGAATACTAACCTAGCTTGGGGGAGGTTATTGTTTAGAGTGAGAGTGCAAACGATAAACGTGTGATAGCAATCGTGCTGGGGGGGGGAGATGGCTGCGATCGCGATTGTGCTCATGGAGGGAAGACAGGCACAATGGCAGCCATCTCCCCCTCTCCCCTGGAGCACGACCGTGGCCATCTCCTCCCCCTGAGCACAACCGCAATCATGCCCGTCTTCCATGCATGAGTGAGACCACAATTGTGGCCATCTCCCCCTCCCACAAGCACAATCGTGCAGGAAAGACGGGCACGATCGCAATTGTCACCCAATGCGGAGTTCGTGATCTGAGGCAAAATTTTGCCAAAATTTCTGTTCGCAACCCAATTCGATTGTGAACTGAGGTGTTTGTGAGCCAAGGTACCACGGTATGTGCAGATTTTCTGTCTGACCAAGGGAGCTGAATCTTACCTGCCCGACTTGTGGACTCTCCACGTCAGGAGATGACCCACTCTGGCTTCCCCCACTCAGTCTTAACTATGTCCATCTTGCCTGATCTTGCAAGTTTCTCACTTCATAGCACCATCAGCCTTTCCTCATTCATCCCAGCTGCACTAATTGGCCTCTTTTTACCTACTACCATTGCCTCTTAAAATCAACAGTTGTTGCATCTTTCCATTTCAGGTTAGCAAGCAAGTGTTTGGTGGCCCATGAGGGTAGCACTCATGGTCCATGCCAAGGATTGCTGGCAGGCTGACACAGAATTTATTTTTATGCTGTTTTGGAATCAAATGCCCATAAAGTGATTCAAAGATTAAAGTAGTTCATACAAGATATAATAAATTATTATTACAAAAAGTCAGATAAGAGCTATCCCTCAGTGAGATTTCTGTTGCCCCCTCCCTGCTGATTTTTGGCAGGAGTATCTTTTTATTCCCTATAAAAGCACATTTGTGTGATTTTCACTGGCTTGTATAGTGAGACAATAACAACCTCCACCCTGCTGCAAATAGCTTGGCAGATGCATCTACTGGCCTTGTAGACGTTGTGTTGCAGACTCCTGGACTGGAGTCCACTTCACATGCGTGGCATTAATATTATTTGGCAGGTACAAACATGTACACAGACACAGTTTTTTTTTCTACTCAGAGCTTCTTCATTTACAATCTCTAAAGAGCAAAAGTGTTTGACACACACATTCCACAGGCAGTTACTTATATAGAAATGAAACAAAAACATGGCAGTGAATGTCAACAACTATTCCATCAGAAACATTCATTTGCATTTATGCAAAAGCAAGAGGAGCTCTTGCCAACAGCTCCTGGCCCAAGAGGACTGTTAGGGCAGACCATTCCCCAGCTGCCCTGGGGCTTCTTTCCCAGTATGCCCTAAGGAAAAGCAGGAAAGAAGCCCAGGCAAGAGAACTCCCGTCATCACTTTGTAAGGGACCTTCAATTATACTGAGAGTATGTATCTGTTTGAAGAGGGAGGACTGGTAACGTTTGTTTCAGTATTTTAAAACTGTAAACTATTGGGAATGCCTTGGCAAAAAAGCCATATAGAAATGCACTAAATAAATAATAGCATAATTAATGTTATACACTGTATTCCTTCCTGCAATGTTTTAAATGCATCTTGGTTGTATGCTAGCTAGAACATATTAATCTACCCATGAACTATGATGAATTCTGGATCTGACAATCCAAAACATATATCACTGCAAATACCTCCACATTGTATTCTTACATTCCAATCCTACTCTAAACTACTTTTTTTTTAATTAGCCTGCTAAACTAATGCCTCTCTTCTCCAAAAAGAAGGCATTTTCCCATAAAACTGAACTGGCTCAATGCCCAGGAAGGATAATAATCAGTTCTGGACCAGTGACAGCTTTGAGGTCTACAGGCTCCCTGGGACTATAGCAGAATTAGGCTTTTGCTTTCAGGCATATTCCACTAGAATAATATGAGGAAATTTCCTTTGATTATTGTTCTGCCGTTTTTCTGCCAAATGATGACAGTGTGTGAAAGTCAAGTACCGTAGAAGTGTATGTTAACCTTCTGTTCATTTTTAAAGTGCTTCAGCAGTCTTATTAGGAATCAATTGACCTTTCGAACCAAATAGTTTAACATATATTACAAAAAAGAGCACCATCATAGTCTTATAAAATACCTATATCCCATCTTTCTATTAAAATGCATCCCAAATACAACAAAAGCAACATAATAAAAATAAAATTACAGCACAATCCTGTGGATTGGTTAGACAGTGTCTAGATAACCATATGATTTTTCAAAGTCCCAGCATTGTTGTGTGCCCCCTGTTGCAGCCAGCAGAGAAAGAACTTCACCAGCTCTTCTCTGAGCAACCTCAAAGGAGTCTGGGGGCATTCTGGGAGGCTGGGGATGAAAGAAGACCACTGCTTAAGATGCCTATAATCCTTGGAGTTCAGAGGGTTATAGGCATCGCCATAGGCTTGTACCCTTATTATGTTTATAGTCTACTTTTACTTGTTATATGTATTCGTTTATGTAACATTTGAATTAACATTCATCAATAACCATGTCGTGTTTAATTATCAAACCCAAATTAGTTTCCTTAAAAGAATGGAATTAACACTGAATGCTGAAATGCATAATGAATGTCCTTGTGATAAATGAGACATATTTCCTATTAATGCCATTTTAAAAAAATAGAAAGATTTAAACCCCATTCTAGGGGGTAGACTAGTCACATAGATAGTTCTATAATTTTAACTTCCTGCAATGTATCCTGTTCACAATACCACCATGCAGTAGACATTTATTTAATTTATTTATTTATTTATTTGACAAACATGTTAAATGTTTGCATGTAATTAATATAACATGTAGTTTGACCATGTGGAGCAACAGATTTAACCTAGCACTGGTGTAAGCAGTAAACCCTGGCCAGGCTGACTCAAAGCAGACTTCGGTTAAAAGGGATGGAGAGACCTTTCCCTTTTTCTTTTTCCCAAATTCAACTTTGCTTTCCTGTAAAAATATCAAGTAGTTCAAATTCCTAAGCCCTAAGGGAAGAGAGAGCATTCTTTTACCAAACATGAAGCTTTTCCTACTAAAGGGCAGAACTGTAACATGAATATTTTGAAACAGATTCAGTTGGAAACATTCATACTGGAAGCATGTGGCCATAGGCTAATAATCCTGTTTGTAGTTTGTTTGTTCATGATCACAGGAATAGCCTGGTCTGGGACTCCTTTGTTTTTATTTGGCTTCAACATGGAGTTTTAACACTTAAAATTCTGTAAGAAAGCAAGTTTGTTCCTAGTCAATGTGGTGCAGTGGTTACAGTATAGAACTGGAAATCTAGTCCCCAGTCGACCATGAAGTTCACTGGGTGACTATGGGCCTGTTATGTGCTCTGAGCCTAACCTACTGACAGGGCTGTTATGAGGATAAAATGCAGAGGAGGAGGAGGAGGAGAATGTCAGCCATCTTGGGTTCCTTGTAACAGGAAAAAAGGAGGGATACAAATGTAGTGGAAGAAGAGGACGAGGTGGCAGGAGTATTTATTATCCTGAAATGAAGAAAGCTAGCACTATGTTTTCCCAGTGTTCTTGGCTCACTACCATAGCAGCGTCAAGCACTCGGGAAGGAACTGACAGATGTCTTCTTCCAAGGCCATAACAGTATGGCAAAAAGGAGCATAGGTAAGTTGTAGAAAAAAGAGGGTACAGGCTGGTGAGTGGAGAGAAACTGGTTTTGAGGTGAACTGGATCTGATGAAACTGCTAAATGGAGTGCTAGATCAGATTTACCTTGGATTGCCTTAGGGAAAAAAGCAGATGGGGGCGGGGAAGGAATTCAAAGAAAACTGTGAGATCATATTATTCCTCTGTTGGAATTTGAACACCCTTAAATGCCTAGGGGAGTGAAAGAAAGTAGTAACTGTAAAATCCAACATTGAATGATGTACATGTCTGACAGTTTTACTAAGGATTAGCTCAGAGTACAAAGTGAAGGTTCCAGATTTCCTAGTCTTTCATCATCTTTCCTTCACTCTCTCTCCTCACAGGGAATTCACTTCCTTGTAAAATGGAAGTAATCATCTGACTTAATATATTACAGGGCAAACCGATTGCTAATTTGGGGCTCACTGATACAGGAGTGCTCCCACTTTTCCTGAGCTCTGTTAGGAGCCTGCCAGCAGAGCAGAAAGGAGTGGTGGTGTTTGGGAGATTAACTATCATTCCAATCCTGTAAATATATATATAAATGCACAAACTTCTAGGAGGTAATCTATAAAGCATGCTTCAATTGTACAGTACCTGATAAATCTGTTTGGGTACTATTGAACAGGAGCTCTGAACTGCAAACAAATCTCCATCAGAAGTTATCACTTCAAGTTTAGCACTAATTTCTGTGAGGTGGTGAAATTCCATTGGTTCAGGAGTATATCCTTCGCCTGGTACTAACAGTTCAGTTGATTCATCCTATAAAAATAAATAAAAAATAAATGTATTTTCCCAACTGATAGAAATAAGATCAAAATGTCTCATGTTTCTTAGGAGAGATAAAGTTTATACTAAGGGCAAATGAATATAGAATCTGATCCAAAGCTATGTACATAGCAAAACCTTCACTTCAGCAAGGAAGGCCTGATTATAGCTCATAGAAACTGGAATAGGAAAATTCAGGAAACTATCTTCTGGAGTAAGTGACTGAAATCCAGCTTCACTATCCAGTTTTCCAAAGAAAAATATTATGTTCTAATATCAAGGTAACATCTTAAGATACATTCAGTATTTACATTTTTTTTTACTTTTCACATGGCCCTACTGATTTTAATCTTTCTGTATAAATATTTCTGCTGCCACTACATATCAACCGATTAATTCAGAACATGTTTTTCTGGCAGCATACTTACTATTCGACTGATGGAGAACTTTAGATGCATCATAGTTTTGGAAAATTGGAGGATCAGCAAGTTCCTGTAATGAGCTGCTGAAATTGCTTAAAGGTTAACCAAAAGTATCAATTATGATATTTTCCAGTTGTATGGAAAATAATTATTTAGGCACCTAAATCATAGGCATACAAATATGGAAATACCATGGGATGCCTTCAATAGGCAACATTTATTTTGCTGTATATATGTAATGAAAAAGCTTGAGCATTTGGTACCCCTGTGTTTACAGATTATTCTACAGTAGCTGTGGAGAGGCACCCATACTAGTATGGCAATCATAAGCCACCATGAAGGAGAACTAGATGAATAAGCACTGCAAAGCATGATGCATGCTGCTTGGTCTTGGCCCTCAGGTAGTCTCCTGTACATTTCAAGGCAAAAGATTCATACACACACGTTTTTAATAAAGAAAAGCCATATCCACATGTGCTTCTGGGTCAGTGTCAAAATATGGTACAGTGTTAGAATATGGACTTTTGTTTCATAAAGATGGACATTTAATAATGCTGCATTTTCATTTATGAAGTTGTCATAGGCTCCAACAAAAGTGGCCGTCCCCCATATATGGTCTCTAAAATATAACTCCACAAAATCCAATGAAGCATGATCTGGGAGTTGAGGGAAGAGAGATCAAACTAATTTTAAGGAAGGTACACAGTGATGTTAAATGCTTAATAAGGCAAATGCGTGCTAAGCCTTTTGAATACAAAAATATATAATAATATATTTTATGTTCATGTTATGGACTTCTTATCATTAAGTTTGCTCCTTTAGTCATTTTTCAAATATAAATCTTGTTAGAGTTACTTGGCAATAAGACCAATAAACACTGTAGGGCTCACTCCTGAATAAAAAAGGACTGGATTTCCTTGTAAGTTGCTAACTACTTGGAAATATCTAGAATTTTTGTAAGTATTCTCTTCCCAATCTTAACTAGACTCACAGGAGATCCATGTTATGTCAGTTATCTGTTTAACACCAGAGGTCTGTACAAAACTATAAAATATTCAGTTGCCAGTGCAAAATAGTAGCAAGGTGACAATTCCCAAGAGGTTACTTATATACTTGTTATAAAGAAAAATAGCTATAAAGAGTAGTTGTTTTAGCCAGACGTGACTTTTTAATTTTACATGAATCGCCCAATGGTCAAAAAAGTGTCCATGTACACACAGGCATGAAGGTAGTAGGTCAGATGTTACACACAAATATCCTCAAAGACTCAAGATTTCACTTCATGTACCATTGGAATTTACAAAGGAACGCAGTATGGTAATGAATACTTTGCACTGAGAAGCACATGTACGGATTTAAACTCTGAGAAATAAAATTTGAATCAAGATACATTAATATCTCCATACTTCAATGACTTGAAGCTCACTGCTCTCATCTTCGGCATCTTGTAGCAATTCTGACAGTCTCTTCTTCTCTTCCTCTAACATAACCACTGGACTTGTTGAATCCTTGACCAACTAAATAAAGAAAGTTTGATAATAGAATGAGGAGCTGTTTGTTTCCATTGTGATACAGTAGGATTTCCCCATGTGTTACACAAAAGAAAATCAATTAAAATAATTTAAAAGAAATTTAAGCTAGACTGATAGTAAATCAAACAAAAATTTGTTACATTTGATGACTAATTTGGTTTTTTAAGGAAAGAACTTAAGGTACCTTCAAGTTTTTCACACATAGCTTTTTGTATTAACAATTCTACCACAATGGAAAAACTGGTAGCAGAGATTTTTATGCAAAAGCAAGAACTAAATGTGCTTGAGAAATAAAGCACCCTATACAGGTAATTGCTAGCCCCAGTGCTCAAGCAACTGGTGCCATCCACAGCATGAATCAATAGGTCAAGGAATATATATATATATATATATATATATATATATATATATTGCAGTGGCAAATTAGTACACCGTAGGGCATATGAATGGAAACTACTGAGCCCTCCCCTCTCCTGTCTTATATACATACACATTGATTTGGTTCAGATGGAACTGAAGAAAAAGATGGCACATAGGGCAAATTGTCAGGAAGAACAAGAAATAAGAATGGGAGGAGGTTCAGGTATAAGTCTGCTACTGTTTTATGTGATTAAACCTTAGTAGCAGCACAGATGCATGGTGGATCGAAAAGTTCTTCCACTCTCATAGTAAGAGAACCTGATGTCACCCAAGAAAACTGAATAGTAGGAAATCAAGGAGAGACAAAATAACTTCCTCAATCAATACTTAGTTAAACTTATTCACTGCCAGAAGTGTTTATTTTATTTATTTATTTATAGCATTTTTATGCCGCCCCCATCGCAGGAAGCCTCCGGGCAGCTTACAAAGAAGATAAACAACATAGAATAATATTAAAAATTCAGAGTATCTTGACAATAGTTCAAAACCAATAAATAAAAACAATTAACAATTAAAATATCGTTTAAATAAAAAGGTCTTGACCTGGTGCCAAAAAACAAATAACGACGGCACCAGGTGGACCTCTCTGGGGAGTACATTCCATAGGTGGGGTGCCACCGCAGTGTTGATAGCAACTAACTTACATGGCTTTATAAGAGGGCAGAAGTTCATGGAGAATAATGCTATCAAATAGCTACCAGTCACAAAAACAATATAAAAATTCCAAGGTTGAAGTCAGTATGCCTCTGAATACCAGTTGCTGGAAAACAACAGCGGGTGAGTATTTTTGCCCTCACAGCCACTATGAAACGGGATTACTCAGCCAGTGTACATCACCCAGAAAACTTTGGGTACTGGGTGGATGAAAATGTAATAAATAATACACCTTTCACCTGATCCAACACAGATCTTTCACTCTTATGATGCATAACTAAATCATAGCATCTGTACTCCTGCACACTTCTGTGTGAGGATTTAAAAAACTTCTGTATCTTCTAATAATAATACAAATAATGTTATAAGTCTTATTTTTGTTTCCTGTCAGCAGAAGTCACAGGCATAGCATCAATGGATCATGATATTAAAAAGTATTAAATGTATGGAATTAAGAGATTCTGTTATAGGGTTATTCTGTTATATAGAGGAGAATATAATAATAATAATAGATCAGAATCTTTTTCCTAACAAAACTGGGTAATTTGAAAGCAATCAGAAATCAAAGCTTACCCTAACTCAAGTTGTATAGCTACCTGACTTCAAGCAGTTATACAAAATATAAAATAGCAAAATTAATCACAAACTATTACTTTCAAATGATGTGACTTGACAATGAATTCCAACATAGTTCATTAGCACATACCTCTATGTTTTTTTTAACAAAATCAGGAGATTTTTTACAGGTACTTTCACTTTTTTTATGCATGCTTTCTGTTTTCTTTATTGAGCTTCTTGTTTTGTCTTCACTTAAACTACCTGGAAATAAGAGAAAATTCTTTAAAAAGTAGAGTTGCGAAACAAACAGATAAAGAACAGTTGTCTTTTATACATGGAATAAGACCATTACCATCATTCACTATTTATATTATTGAGAAATTCAGTATTATTAATGTATTAATTCAACCTTATCAATTGTATGTTTAACTAAATTATATGAACGGCAGTACAAATCATTGTTTACATTTCTGTACACAAATTACATGCAGGTAAAAGCTAATGAGCAAGACTGCCCAAACTTAACCATGGGTTAGATCTAGAATTGTCTCCCTGGGAGTGGAAGACCCTGTTCACACACAACAATGGCAAATTGTGGATTAGCACATGATTTGTTGTGGAATGTGCTGTGGTGATTTTCAATCTGCAGCCTCAGATTAGATGTTTCTGTGTGAAATGTGAACCTAGTCACTATTGCATAATCATGGGTTAAACAACCCAAAGTTTACCTAACAAGAACTTGCAGCTTAGTTTTTGGTTAGTTAATCCATGATTAACTCATACTTCTCATGTCAGAGGACAAGATCTAATCAAAAGCTACAGGTTCAAACTGGCAGTAATCCGCAGCTCCAGAAAACAGTGGTTAATAAGTTAATTAACCAACAATCTGCAGCTGTTACATATGAATCAGACTAAAGAATTCCTTTTGATTGATTCAAGATAGTTAGCATATGTGTATAGCTTAAAAACTCTTGAATCGCTTGTTTAGACACAAACTGGGATATTCAGCATATCTTTTTGGGAAGAGAAATTGTACTTTTAAAATCAGATGAAAAAAACAAAAGTGTAGTAATATATATTATACCTTGCTTTGTTGGTCTTCTAGTATAATTTTCTGGATGGATCTGTGTGTGAAATACACTACCAATAATTTCATCTTCTTCAACAATGGAAGGCTCTGTTAATGAAATAAACTATTAAATAATTCTTCCATTTTTATATTTCAAAATAGCCAAAAATAACCATTTTGTATTCACCATGAATTAAGAATTGTGTTTTTATTAATTAATATCTGTAAGAATGGAAACCAATCTCACACAAATGATAGGCACTGTGATGAGCACTGCCTTCCAGAGCGCTGATAATTTGGTAAAGGTATGGAGGAGGCTCTGAGCATCCTTCTCTTGCTGCCCACAGAGTAGGTAGTCAAATGTCAATTTTGGTGTGAAGGTGCCCCATCTAGCCCTGTCTAAAATGGTAAGCACAGAACACCTGGATGATGTCATTAATAACTCCTTCCCCATTCCTCATTGTCAAGAGGGAGCTAGTTGCTTCTAGCCCTGCCTAGAGATCAGATTTAAAATGTATTGCATTTCTTTTCCACAAATAGGAAGATTCTATGCTTTAATACATTATTTATCCTCAAATGCTATTTAAAAGAGCAAAAAGACAAAAGAGAAGATACAGATCCAGAAAACTTTTATTGTTATTTTGTTTTATTATTAATTTTTGCAGAAGCAAAGGAATGTATTCTAATATTCCTATTTTGCAATAAACTGATACAGTTATGTATCAAATGTATGTAGAAACAAGGAAGATTTTTTACAATTGGTATCCGTTATTGGATTTTATACATGAAACATATAATGCATATACAAATGATATTGAAAAAACATGCACCCTGTTCTAGAAATCCAGATGAGATTGTATATACGTATTATATCAAATTTACTGTATGCATAAATTGTTATTTTAAAATATATACACTTAAAACAAAAAGATTCCCTTCAGAGATCTTGTTCTGAAAGCCTCTGCCAGGTGACATGAGGTTAATGGCTATTTGGGGAGCGCATTCCCACACACAGGCTGCAGAAGAAGCAAGCCAGAAAGGCTCATCTAGCACATACTTCATGCCCTTTTCAGTCTCAGGTGAAGACTTTTATTCACTCAAGCCTTTTAAATAAGTTGAAATATTCAAATTTATGCTCTTGATGTCTGATGTGACTTATTTTGCTGCTAGTCTAGTATTATATCTTTCTCTGTTGGTTGCTATCTGCTTAATCCTTGTATTTTAATATTGTACTTCATGGACAGATTACATCAAGATAGTACATCACTTACTAATCTCCTATTTTAATTCAGGGGTGACAGATGCAAAGGACATTTCAGAGACAAAATTGGCCATATTAAATTTCATTGTTCATGAATAGGTAACTCAAGAGTTAATCAACTACAGTGTGATAGCAAAATTTATTTTAGAGGTTTATCCACAACCACACCAAGATAGAATAAATGCTAACCTATAAAGGAGCAAATTAGTTCATTGCATTCCAGCCTTTATTTTTAAGTAAACCAAGTGCCTGTTCTAAAGTCAGATCAAATGGACTTGACTGCAGGTATGCGGTACAAATGCCCCAGGCAAAAAGGATCCTTGAACTATTTAAACTATGCCAAGATGTCCTGGCTAATATGGAAGAAGCACATGATCTGTACAGCAAAAGATACCTTTGTAAAGTAAAAGAAAATGGGGGTGGAGCTCTTTAGTACTCAGGAACACCTGAACAAACCATCTCTCCTTAGTTAGAAGCACAAAGACTAAGCATACATAAGAATACAAGCATATTCCATTATCAAATGCTGACATCTAATGGTAACAAACTAGCCTTGCACCAATTTAAAGTAACACACGTCCTGTCTTAAATACAGTTGGAAACATTGATTTTAATTTAGTACAAATATGGCAGCTATTGGATTTTTTTTTAAATTGCAAGCTTACAAGCAGAGCCTATCATTTGTTTTTATTTATGTAGGCTGCCTAAACAAGCATGAGGTATTTTATAAATAGTATTTTCTGCCTCTCACTCCTGTATTTTTTGTATCATATCATAACATGAGGTTTCAATTAGCATTTGGAAAACACTGGTGTATCAAGGGCGTTATGTCTTTTTGCATATTAGCAAGTGGCTAGTGGAAAACACTGGGGACAATACAGAATGGGCAAATTCTTGGGTGAAGGTGAATATTTGGTAATCTACTGATTTAGTCTCCCTAAAAAGAGATTACTAAAAAAGAGAAAGCATTCCTTTAAAAACCATCTTAAATAACATGGAGTGCTGGTCTGACGTTCGAAGTTTAAAATTGTACAGGATTTTACTTAATTTTTAATCATACTGATTGCAAGTGCCTTAAAAGGACTTTTGCTCACTGTGTAAAGCTATATAACACTTAGACTGCTTTCCCATGCACAGCAACCTGACAGTAAACCCCACTGAACACTTATGTCTGATTAAAGAAGCATAGGATTAGCTTGCATATAGCATTTCTTTATTGTCAACAATAGTGGTATCTGGCAAATTTATCCTGACACTTAATCCCGATATAATTATAAAGTAAACACAGACAGGACATTTTGGAGGGCTTTCATTCATGGGGTAAGAGATGGCTTGATAAACAACAAAAATGCTGACAATCCAGATATTCTGCCTGGAAGGAGTTAGACAGGGTAGAAGGCCCCAAAATTGGACATTCCAAGGATGGAGGAAGCTTTGGAACTATTGGATTTAGAGCTCCTCTGCTTCCTCAAGAAGCTTCACATTCAAACCCTTCAGCTAGTCCAGACTGAAGCTAGAACTGTTAATTGTCCATCCCTTTGTTTTCAGTGGGAGATTGAACAGTTCCACTAGGCTAAAAAGCCCAACAGAACTCCCTCACTGCTCCATAACACCTCTTCCCTGAGCCAGTGTAAGTCAGCAGAGTTGTGGAAGTAACAATATGCCAGGTCATTTAGGACTGCTGTCTTTATGGTGACAAGTAAATGTCTATTTTTAACACTTACCAAGTGTTTCAGGTAATGGAGAGGTCAATGCTAAAAATCTGCTTGTGTTTTCCTCCTCTTCAGTTATCACTGAAGAATTTCGAGATGATATGGACTGTATACAGACAAAGAATACAGACACACACATCCCCAAATTAGTGTATGTAACATAAAATAAATAGAATATACAGCCCAGAAAATGAAGAGCAAAGAGCTGTGCACAAGTTAGTGAAAGAATCCCACATTCAAAAGCAGGTTTTCATACTTGGTCTTTATTCCCACTTGATTTATATAACATTTTGGTTACATGATAAATTATATCCCAGTACAACAACTATTTTTGCACATAACTGGACTAGTAACATTTGATTTGTCTACCACAACTTCAAGCCTGCTGTAATTGCAAACATATTTCTAATCTTTGATGCATATTAATTTTTATCAATATTGTGCTCAATGTATCACTCAATACTGATAATATTAATGAATGCTATCTAGGTGCTTGTCACAAAACTACAAAACATAATTGCTTACACAGATTTAGCATAGTGTACGTTTCATGCCAGGTGATTATGGAATCCAGTTTCTACAGACAACTATAGTACAAGAGCATTTGAATCTGGGAGTTTCCCTGCCACATGTCTATGTATTTTCTAGTTTAAGGTTAAGCATCTGTTTTTCTAAGCCAACAAGCAAGTTATATCTAAGTAAAATTCACAGTTCTATATCATGTTAATTTATTAAAATGTTTGCTCATGATAGTATTTTGGAATCAAATCACATGTTTCTAACCTGAAATTCCTCCCAGAGTTTTCTTCTCATTTCTCTGCCTTGTTTTTTAATTGCTCTTTCTTGAGATAGTTTGTTTGCCAATATTTTGTCCAACCTTTTCATCTTCTGTACAGCTTTCAGAATAAGTGAATCAACATCTCTCTCCTTAGTATCTTCCAAGTTTGAAGGACTGGTTGTCACTTAAATATAAAATAGACCATTAAAATCAAATTTCTGTTCTTTCGTAAGAAAAAATTCTTTGAAGTATTTCAAACAGAATTACTTAAGATTGATAAATCTCATTTCTACAGACATCCATTGAGAAATAGAAGACCCTTGGCCAACAGACAGTTTAGAACTAGAGCAGCAATGTATCAGAGAATATTTAAAAAAAATTAATGCAAATAGTTATGAAAATTGCTTATGAAAATCACCACTTTCAAAGAAGAATTCTCTCCCTTTTCACAGGAAGAATGCCTCTTCTAAGATGATGCCTGCTAAAACACACGTGTGAAACCAAAGAAAATGCACTTGTTGCTTCAGATATGTTTTTCCCTTTTGCAAACTTAAAAATTGACTGAATTTAATATGTCTGTAAACTTATTTATAACAGATCAGACATGCAGTTGTTGCTAAAAGCACAGGGGAAGAGGTTGTTAAATTGGCAACACTGATCTTGAAGCTGCTGTACAAAAAGCAAATGATTATAATAGAGTATTTGTGTCAAATGGAAAAAAAGCCAGGCTCTCTTTGTTCACCAATTACTTACTGTTGGCATTGGATAAACAATGCTATAGAAAACCATGTTTCCTACAAGTCCATTTATTGCATGGAGGTGGGAGGGCAGTTAGGAATATTTAATTCAGTAGCAACAAAAGCAGCAGACGGGCAGCTGTCATTTGCTGCTGCTCTCATGGGATTGTCCGGGACCCTCCTTACCCCTCTAAGAGACTTTCAGAACTAACTGTCCTGTGAGGAAGAACAGCAGGATGACTGAGATGGAAGGTGGATGCCTCACCTGCCAAAGCAGGAATAATGAGATGCTGGGCAAATTCCTCTTTAAGGCCAGTTAATAGCTGGCTTTGTCAAGTATTTTTCAAATGTCCACCCATTCCTGTTTTGCTTTCTTTAACTGCGAGCAACCCACTTCCATGCCAACTGTTAACTTTGTAACGTTAAGAACTGGTGCTCAAATGTCCACATTTCCCTCTCCCCCCCCCCCCCCGAGCCCCTTTAAAACAGGCATGTCTAATGGCAGGGGTTGTCTTGATTTATTTGTAAGTCACACTGGAAGCCTTTTCTGCTGGACCACAAGATTCAACAAAATGTGATAAATACCTTTTTGTAGTTTGGCTAGTTTATTCTGAGAAACCTGGCTGCAACAAGATAGTCTGCTTTCAATACAGTCATCTTCAGAATCTGCTGAGCTTGAAGAATATTCTGAAAACAGAAGCCATGTGTAGAATTACCAGCACTGTTAAGAGCTGAAGAATTGTGAAAGTGGCATTACTACAAGGTAAGCTGCTGTCTGGAATGAATAATCTGTTAGTAAACAACCACAAATAAATTCATAAAAGCAAAAGTACAGAAAGGATGCAGCTCCACAGATAACCAGTTTGCATTATCATAAAAATCCCAACTGAAAAGCTACAAAAGATATGATATATGATCTGGCCAGGGCAACTTCTTCTTCCTTCTCTTTTCTCCTCCTATATTATTTATTTACTTATTTTATACTGATAATTTTAATTTTATATTATTATGTTTGTAACTCAATGTATTTTTTGTATTTAATGGTAATTTATTATGTTCTATTGTATTTCAATGTATTTTATTGTGTTGTAAACCGCCCCGAGGCTTCGGCAAGGGGCGGCATAGAAATGTTATAATAATAATAATAAAAAGCTGTATTTTTACTATTCAATGATTAACAGTAAAAATGAATTGGGCAGCTTCACCAGGGAGTACATTCCACAGTTGAGGTGCTATGACCAAGTAGGTCCTGTACCCACATGGCAAACATGAGTCAGCAACAGGGGGCAGTGAAAGATGTTGATCTGATACAGGAGAAGGTAAAACTTAAGGAAAAATGGTTTTAAAAACCTCTGTAAATCAGTATTGGAAATGAACTGATAGCCACTATGTATTTATATGTTTAGTCTGGCAAGTTCCAGTTAATATTCTGGAATATTCAAATAGTATATTTTGCATATAGCCCAATGAAATGCAATTATTTTAATGTTATTATTCATTTGTTATATTTATATTCCACCTTTTTTGCTTTCAAGGACCTTAAGTCAGCCTATATTATTTTCTTGCTCCTCTCAAGATTATCCTCACACCATTTGTGAGGTAGGTTGAGCTGAGAGTCTGACTGCACCAAAGTCATCCACTTGGCTCCAAGTCTGGGCTGAGACTAGAATCCAGATCACCTGAGTCCCAGTCTTAACATTAATGCTCTTAACCACTACACTGCCTTTCCAATTATGTTAGAAAACATGCACTACTTTAAACAGAGTATTTCAAGTGTTGCCCATAGCTCTGCATGTTCCTCATTTATCATGACTGGTGGCATGCTGTATATGAAAGCATCACCTCCTTCAACATCACTTAGAAGTCTACGTAAATACTCCATTTATTTATTTATTACATTTTTATACTGCTTATAGCCAAAGTTCTCTGGCTGGTGCACAACAATTAAATTGATACAACATAAGATACAACATAAAAGCAAAAAAGCTTAACAGTATAATAGAAAATAAAAGTAAAAACCCAAATAAAACTTATTGGTGATTCAAAGAACTAACATTCATGTACTTCTCATCTAACACTGTAGCTATCTCAGAGAATATTGAATACTTCTATGCTTAAAAAACTAAGAGTGTGATTCTAAACACACTCACTAGGGAATAAAGTCCCACTGAACACAGTGATAGTTATTTCTAAGTAAACATACAAAGGATTGTACTGCATTTGTATTAATTTTTATACCTTTAACCTGATTTAAACTCTGTATCACAAGCTGGTGACTACTATTAGTTTTTCCTTCAAATGTTTCATCTGAGGTTTTCAGTTTTTTAATTCCATATTCCTCTCCAATTTCACCATAATTTTCTTTTGACTTGTCTTCTGTAGGATTGTTGTAAAAATCAACCTAGAAATGATTGTGCAAATAAAGAGTTTAATGAGCATATCACTCTTCTTGTTTCAAGTTGCTCAAACCGTATTACCATCTGGAACCATTAATAAAGTATAAGCTACATTATATTATAGGATAAAATCTAAGGATTTCACAACACTTTGCAACTATTAGGGATAAGATAATATTTTACAACAAACCTATAAATAGTCACTCACCAAGTCATTTGTGATAAGAATTACCTTCAGGAAACAGGGCAGGAAGGTTTACAGATGCTAGCTCGGTTTTTTTAAGCCACAGGTATTAGTAAAAATCTATGGGCAAGGACTCCAAGTAAGTATTTGTGGCTTTATTTACCCATCTATCTTATGCTATTCACCTGGGGTGAAGGTACCCAGAACAGGGCATCTGGCACCACACAAATCTGTTTTGGCGGTCTCATTTCCACTGCAGGTTAAAAATACTCAAGAGCCTCTTCTGCCATGGTTTCTTGAATTTTCTGTACCACACACAAATGAAAGATGACTCTATTCCTCTGCATTGCCAGGGCGACTGCTTTTCTTTCCTTTTATAACTTTTCCTTTATAACTTCTTTTATATCGTTTATTTTTATTTATTTTATATTATTAATTTTAATTTTATATTGTTATTTTTATATTGTATTGTATTTTATTATTTTGTAAGCCACCCCGAGGCTTTGGCAAGAGGTGGCATAGAAATGTTCTAATAATAATAATAATAATAATGACTCATAAGCTGAGCCAACATTTGTTGACCCCTATACAGAACCTTGAAAGCACTGTAGAAAAAGCAGGTCAAGGAATATTGTGGATGTAATAGCTACCTTGAGCAAGTCTGGTTCTGGTGTTAAAACTTCTAAAGATGCACTTAAAACTTTGCTTGCATGATTAATTCTTGAGCTAGATGCTGGCCTTGAAATTTCATCCAGGTTTCCCCTTGTAATATCCATTGCAGTCTTAAATAAGAAGATAAAGAAAGCATAAAGTATATTAAATATGATAATATTGATCACTTTCTTATTTTTCTACATTTTCTACTGTTTACTAGATGGAAATTACTTATAGGACCTTATGGAAATCATGGGCTATTAAGAGTTTGTTTCTGTTAGTACACAGAGAATACAAGTGGAACAATTCATGTCCAAAGCTGTGTTCCTGATTATGAATTTATGCTATTTTCTTACTAGAAGTGCAACTCACAACTCAATTCCTAACTGCACTCCACTATGCTACAGTTTCAGAAGCTTCAGGGGCAGTAGAGGTAAGTTGTGCTGTGAGCTATAGCCACAGAAAAGCAATTATATGCTCACTCACCCTAAGCACTGCTCAACTCAGTATTAACATACCAGCTTTATCTGCCATGTCAGCTCTTTGCGCAAAACCATGGAACAAATCTTATCTCTCTAGCTGTCATGCAAATCTGCATTCAAGTTTACAGAGTGATAAGCAGATTCATAAAATGCCACTCAGCCCAACCACCTTTCCCTTCATATTTGGAATCGCACCAAATAATAGTCATGAAGCCATAAGAAGAGAAAGAGCTTCCTGACTTTCAGCTGCAGCATTCTGTTACCTTCGGCTGTTTTTGCTTTATCTTATGATGTACATTGGAAATCAAACACTGTTAAGTTACTTACTTATTTACAATATTTTTACCCTGTCCTTAACAAACATCCCAGGATGGCTTACAATACTTTCCAATAGGTTACAGAAATAAAAAGTCATAATGGTATGATCTTTCCCATTTGTATAGCAAAGACGATGCTCGGAAAGAAAGAGTGGGGAGGGAGAATGGAGTGCTATTACATAGAAGAGAAGGAGGACAGGATGGGATGGGATGAATTGCCCTTTGTTTGAGCTGCTGCTATCTGTAAAGTGCCAACTAACTTTCTCTTTACTGGTGCCTGGCTAGTGTCAGCCACATTTCAAGGATGGACGCATGCTAAATTCTAGAAAAGAGGGTTTTTCTCAGGCCTGGTTATGTATTAATGATTGCATGATTTAATCAATGAAAGTTATACCTATTTATCCATATATCAGTAGGAATATGAACAAATAAACAAATAACTAAATATTAACATTTTATGTCTTCAAGCTCACAACCTTTAAAAGTGACCGCTCTTGAAAGAATTAACATACACACAAAATCTAGAGATGCAGTTTTAACGAAATGGATTGTACATATCATTTCATGCATTTGGGTGTCTGAGAAAGCAAATTAGTAGAGGTTCTGTTCTCTTCTTTGTTAAAGGCTCAACATTACTAGCATTAGTATATAAATAACGTTGCTTCCTTCACTCACCCGCAAAGAACTAGATTAAACAGTCACATAAAATGAAAGGTATAACCCTAAAGGTTGATGAAGGCACCAGAACAGAATCTCAGTTAAACAAAGATACTGGGAAAAGGCAAGAAGACCACACTCTGACGATCGACGAGCATGCAATCCAACGGTACCACCCTCTGTATACTGTGGGAGCAAAGAGCCTTGCCTTTAGCAGGACTTGCTTCTGAGTAAATATTGGGCCACACCGTTATAACACTTCGATTTTGGATCTGGTTAGAAGAGCTGTGCATTTCTTGTACAGAACAGGAGGAGGGAAAACATCATTGATAAACAAAGTCCCACATTAACTCACCCCAAGCAGGATATTGGTCGGCACCGCAAAGGCGGAACGAGGAAAACCCTCGGCAAACACGAGGCGCTTCGTTTCTTGGTTGCTCAGGCAACCTCTACGACGCAACGGAGCCGGAAATCGGGCACACTCTAAGGGCGGAAGTGGAAATTCTGGCTTCTTAGGGCCCGAGATGGGCTTTCTGCAATTGGGTTTAGAGTCTCGTTATAAGTTATAGATATAGGTTCTACTAATATGCACGCACGCACGCACGCACGCATACATATATAGGTTATAGGTAAGCAGTTAATGAGTTTTGTAGATGTTTTAAAACGGAGCTGGTTGAATGGCCGGTAGGCTTTCTCTCCGTCTTTTTCTAAATCCACATGGACGCGATAACGCTCTTCCTCCACACGTCTGTCCTTTTAGCCAACCTGTGTTACAGACACGTGATCAGCCAGTCCTTGCTTTTGCATTTGAAAATGACTTTCAATCAGGATCAAGGTGGCTACGTTCTGTGGCACTTTCCCCCAACCTGGTGATTTAAAGATGCATTGGACTACACCGCCCAGCTGTTGTTCACACCCCGAAGGCACAACACTGGGAAAGACTGTGTATAGGCTGCTGACAGAGAACTGCTGGATCACTTTGAGGCAGTTAACCACTGCATGCTTACCTAGAAGTAAATTAATTGAATTCAGGCAGACTATGAATAAACATAATGGTGCATATACATTTTAACGGTTGATTTTGTAGAGAGCGTGCTTGCAGAATGTGTAGTGGGTTTATTAATCATTTGCTGTAGAAGGATCTCAAAGCTGGAGTTTTCATCAGTGTGATTAAATCAATATGAGGGATATTGTTCATTAGCCTTAAAAAGAAAAAAACTGAATCAGGATACAATTCTATGAATGTTTAGGCAGAAAAATACCTATAGCTCCATTAATGTCTTAATTTCTGGAGTCAGGGAGGCATTCTAGCATTAGCAACCTGGCCAGATCTTTCTGGAGCTCTTTACTCTGAAATGATATTTTGCACTTTGTTTTACCTAACTGAATAATTTAGTGTCGTGAGTGTACTTGACTAAATCACAACTCATCCTTAACTCAGGATCAAAGCACCAAGCTTTGTTATGCAGATTTCCTCATGTTTCATAGACTCAGGAAGCATTAACTTTAAATTGCATGTATTTGCTGAAAGATGAAAACAATTCTTATCTTAACTGAAACCTAGGGGGAAAATTCAGCCAAAACACAAGTTTTTCATGTGCATCATCTTTCTTGCCTGAGCTTCTTTTATCTGGGGCGACACACACACAGAAAACCAAGCCCCACGTGGGAGTAATGCTGCATGTTTAAAATTCTTCTGGCCTCACCTTGACTCTGCTTAACTACTCTGGAATTTTCTTCAATTTGATGATAATGTTCAAAATCTTTGATATACTTTCTAAATTTATATTACTATATTATTGATTTTAAATAATAGCCAAGCATGTTGGAGAGATTTGACTTTCTTGACTAACCCTGTATTTTTGAACAGTTTTTTTCCTTTGAAATTAAATAGCAAAACTAAGTTAAATAGTAGTGTTTGGGGAGAATGTCAACCAAGTAATAACGACAACAACCAGGTCTTGTATTTAATATCTTTGTTGAGACAAATAATTGGACTTCATATTGGTGGTGGCCAATATGAAGGTAATATCCATTACCTAGCGCTGGAAATAGTCCAAAGAACTAACTCTATATGTACAGTGCTTAAAAGTATGGGGGTTAGAAATAATAGACACCAAATTTGCCAGATACTTTGTATGCTGTAAGGTAGACTTTTATTGCATATATAAGCACACTGCACTCAGACAGGATACTGCTACCATTTTGCCTGTTTTTGAACAACTCTGATCCTGAGAAAATAAGTGTCATACCAGGTCAGGCAGAGGCCCAGCTCGCCCAGTGTTCTTGCTCACACATAGGCTGTCCATGGAAGGCTCATGAGTAGGACATGAGTGCAGCAGCACATGTTCCCCAGCTACTAGTAACCATTGATAGCCTGATCTTCCAGGAATTTCTTTAATCTAGCTTTTTGAGCTATCCAAATTACTGGCCATCACAACATCTTGTGCTAGAGGATTCCATAATTTAATATTGTGCCACATAAAGTGAAAGTGACCAGTGAAAAGACTGGTCCAGTATGCCAGTGTTCTTCTGCATCATATTGAAATAATGTAGTGAAAACTGTGAGAGGCAATCTAATGTATAGTTTGATTTGACCATGATTACTAATGTTGACTGCTGTAGCTTAATTAAATTGTAAATATGGCCATTTTGACCCTTCTAAGCAATTTGTACTTGCATATATGTTGTAACTGATAGTGCTGAGGTCACTGTTCCCCTATTAATTTTGTTGTATTTCAGAATAGAAATACTTATTTTCTGCCCAATATCACAGGCACTTCATTCAGCTTCATATTACCCAGCTTCCACTCACTAGGGATCACTGTATCTCAATCCATCTGTACAGCTGGAGATGCTTGTAATTTCTTTCAAAGGTGACATGGAAACCTCTGAGAAGGCCCTGGCACCCATGAGCACATTTATTTTTGTTTATTTATTTTATTTAAATTAGATTTATATGCCACTTTTTTGTTTTAAAGAACTCAAAGCATCTTACATCTCCCTCCTGCTGCTCTCAATCTTATCCCCACAACTACAACCCTGGGAGGAAGGCTGGGCTGAGAGACTGTGACTGGCCCAAAGTCATCCATTCTGGCTCCATGATGGACCTGGGTCTAAAACCCAGATTGCCTTAGTCCCAGTTTGACTCTCTACACTCCACTGGCTCTCAATTTGCTGCTTGTTCCTGGAGTCAGGTAAGAATTGCTATCAGCCAAAGTGTCAGATACAGTAGTTTACAATGTAGGTGTAATGAAACTCTCTTACATGAGAATGCACCTGCTGTACTTGTTGGTCTCTGGGCACTCATAAAAAGGGGCAGGTGTCTGTCTGCAAAGTTCCTGAGATTGTGGGCAAATGTAATTTTGTATATTAGCCTGTTTAAAGTACTTGGGCAAAATCCTAGAAAATGTCCTGGAAAGCAATACGAACAAAAGCAAACATAGAGACCTTTTTAGTGGTTTTCTGGAATTGCTTGCCTTTCTCTCTTGCTAAGTAAGTTAAGTTGCCCTTTGGAGCAAACTGTATTAAATAGGCCTGGTTGCAAGAGCACAAGCATTGAAGATGACCTTTCAAACTATTATTCATAACCATTCTTATTCCTTTCTTAAGTGAATTGATTTTTGCTAGAATGTGTTGGGGTTGTTGGCAATAATTGATGCTAATTTCCTGATGAAGTTAAAAGCAGGTTCAATTCACTGTTTTGGAAAATAATATGGTTTTTTTTTTTCCTAACCTGAGCTTTCCTATAACAGCATCATTCATTCTCTACTGTTCCATAAAGCTGACAAAGTCATTAATTCCTTGCCTCAGAAGAATATCACTTTTTCTGCTCATACTACTTTTATGTGTATCAATGCCTCTGCAAAACCTTTATTGTCATCTCTGGATCTACTGACATTTATTTTTGCTAGTAAATTCTGTAGGTGGCACTCTTTGTTCAGTAATTTTTTAAGAGTGCTATGAAAAACACATTAAAGTGGGTCCATAGTTCCAAACTCATTATCTGGTAAGTCAATTAACATTTCTGCTAGCATCGCAACCGACAGATTAATGCTGGAAGAGGCATATATGTGGTTTGAGAGTCAAAAGGTAGGCTTTCTGCACCATCTTGTATGTTTTCATTCAGGATTATGTCAATGTTTGTTCCTTGGGACTTACTCCCACACAGTTGTATATAAGACTACAACTATTGCTATGAAGGCTAGTCAGAAGGGGAAGAGAGGAAAAATGGGGGTGGGGGGGGGAACAGAAAATTGAAAAAGCTTCACATTCTTCCATGGATTTTTGGAAATACTGTGCAGTGGGCTTCTTTCAATATTTTGGGGGGAAATGGTAGAGGCAGCTCGTTTTCTGTTTTTTTCTAGTATTTTCCAAGTTCTCACATCTTTGCAGCCATAAACTAGTAAGAAACAAGCTTGCCTTTTGTTCATTCCTAAAAATCTTGGATATCAGCAGAACAACCAAGAATGTCATTACAATTGTACCCTGAATGTTCTGTAAAATAAACCAGACATTATAACATGGAGAGAAACCAATGGAAAAACCAAAAATATGTCTAGCTTTTACAATAAAGATGCAAAGCAGGTACTCTCTATTGTATAGCTTGTTTATACAGATGTTTCCCTTGTAGGCTTGAATGTAGGAAATAGGCCTAAAAGAAGAGTTAGTAAAGATGACTATCATGCAGATGAAGTAAAAGAGAATTAATGTGCTTACATCATGCCACAAAGACTACTGTAAAATTGAAGAAGTTTACTTTACATTAATATTGATGTAATATAATTGTTTGCTGGAATTGGAGTTCAGCGGAAAAACCACAGTGGTATTAATGAGAACAAGACATCCATAGGCGTATTCATCTTTATTTGGGCTGCTGGTTAATTGAGTTAAGTGAATCATGATTATTTAGCTAAGTGATCTGGTTGTTTCTAGGTTGTCCATTTGCGTAAAGACCAGGACAGTTCAATTTAAAATATCTATGTATCGTGTCATTTTATACCACCCAATAGTCAAGATTTTCTGGGCAGTTAAAAACATACAACAAAAATTAACAAAAAAACCACAGCAGTTTTACCTGAATCAGTACAGAGGCATAGCAACAGTACAGGATAAAATGCAATATGAAAACTGAAGTTAAGAAGTTAAACGTCAAAATGCTGGGGAAATACAGTGGTACCTTGGCTCACGAACACCTTGGTTCACAAACAAAATGGGTCACAAACAAAAATGTCTGAAAAATTTTGATTTGGGTCGCGAACACTGCTTTGGGTGGCGACCAAGATCACAGCCATCTCCCCCTCCCCCGAATGGGGAGATGGCCTCAATCAGTCCCATTGGTTCAGGGAAGGTGTGCCTGATCAGAGGCGCGCTCCTGCAGGAAAGA